CTTTGGTATAGGAAACTAGAGAGATCATGGTGCCGCAAAATCTTTGAACGCGCGTATTCATGTACTCATATTAAGTTTTAGAGGATGATGCAATGGACTATTTAAAAGAAATTTTAACCTAACTTCTGCACGTAATGTTATGCGCATGGAAATTACTATGCTGTCAGTAGATGGTTTGAGTGGGTTAATATTTTTCTTTTCAGGCTTGTGAGCGTGTCAGACACCTGGGTTGTTTATCTGCAGAAGCTGTAGCTAGTAGGTATGATAGATCCTTTTTCATTATGTTTGTGTTTGGTGAACTTAATTATGAGGTATATGAGGCGCTGGTTATTAAAGGACCGAACAAGTAAGATGGTAATGCTGTGACGTTCGGGACGGTAAACTAGATCGTATTTTCAAGCGCTTGTTTAGCTACTCGGGTTAATAGTGCATGTTTTACACCTAGAGGTGCACTCACATAGCGAGCTTACCAATATGCAGCTTCTCCTTCTGTTGTTATAACTAAACCCAATTCAGGTGAAAGTGTGAAGGAACAAACTAGTGAAAGAGGTGATAAAAAAGATGGCATACTTTCACGTTCACTGGAAAGTGCCTGAATTATTTACTCGCTAGCGCTGTTTTTGTGTGTTAATCAAAGTTTTAAAGGTCTACGAGCAGACAAAAGTAATCATCTTTCTTACTATCGCATCAGTTTATTTCTACACTCTTCTTTAAAAAACAGATAGCAGTCAAAAACGGTGTCATAAAGGAGTAGCCCGCAAGGGATATTTGGTTTCGGGAACGAGTCCTTCAATACTTTTAAATTGTTAAATTGATGGTCACTTCCTCAATTTAACCATTAATATTAACATTTAATTTTCTTAAATTTTTTTTTTTTTTATTGTTATACACCCACATTCCCACCCTCACATACACAACATCCCTATTTCACTACTGATTTCTTATCAGTGGAGTGGGAACCCTATTTTAGGGATTCCATTTTCAACACCTATAATGCCACAAAGGTTGTTAGTTTTACTACTGATAAATAAATATATAAAACGAAACAGAAATCTGTATATTAAACTAATTTAGCCCCCTCTTGTTGCTGTTAAACCGTTTAATAAATTTGTTAGTTTTTATCACCATGATTTAGCCCCGGTAGAAGCTCAGGAAGTTATCATTCCTGTTTTTCCATAGGTTTTTCACAGTGCAATGGGGTCTTTTTGTTTTTAGGTGTGGCAGTGTTATCGTAGATTTTGAGATGAAATTCAACCGAAGTGCAGTCGTTAGTGAGGTGTTAAATGTTCTGAAGACAGCCGCAGAAGAAGATAATTTTGATGGATTTAAAGTCGATCCCAATTCCATTGAACAAGTTTCTACTGCACCCACAGACACTTTAAGCACCAAAGGTAAAACATTTTGTTTTTATTTTTATGGCAGCTCAAGATAACTTAAATGTATAAAAAACCGCTGAATAATGCCCTGTGACTGGTTATTCATTCTCGATATCTTCGCGATTCACCTCCGAGAAAAAAAAAACGAAATAGCTTTCCATTTTCGTAATGTTTTAAAAGCGGGAATATTTTAAGTATTCTGGTTGCAAGCCTTATGATAACCAACTTGCTGTGCTTTCTTAAGCCTCAAAGGCCACTGCTGCGTTACCCTTAAACTAACAGCCGTAAGGTCAAGGCCAACTAAAATAGCTTGAATTGGCTGGAATTGGATTGGCCATGGCCTCTAATTTAATCCCTGCTATCAGTATGTTACGGCACCTGTCAGAGCAATT